ATGTTACTGATCTATTTAAAAAATGTCCAATCATTCACACAGATTTTTATTTCATAATCTGAAAGAATCTGATTAGTTATTAATCGTAATGTTTAGTTGAGTTTGATTTTCAGAATTAAATGTCATTTTCCTTGTAAGTGTGTTATAATATTGATGTATTGCAGAGCAATCTAGTGAATTCAATGCATGTTAATATGTTAATATAGTAAGTATAGCATTTTTGACATAAGCACATTCACACATGGAAAGTCTCAATGTAAATACATCGTATGGCAGTAGCTCTTTGGTACATTTATTGTGTAAAAGTAACTCACGGGCCAAAAAGGGTTGGAGACCCCTGAGAGAATCGGAAAATTTTATACAGGTAAACACACAAAGGCAGTAAGTTATTATTGTAACCTCCAGTAATTAAACAAATAATAAAAATGGAAAACAGAGAATTGCGTTTAGAAGGAGAAAAGACATAGACAAACAAACGTGCATCTGGGTACTGAATGTAGCACCTGAAATAGATTTACACGTGCCAAGTTATTTCTAATACTTTATTCTATTGTAGATTCGTGTTCAAATATAAACTTACAATTCACAATAATTTGGGTTATTAGCTAGAATATTGTGTAAAACTAATGTTTTATTTTGTAATCTGGGCCCATTTAAAGTTTCTCCTTGTTATTTTGTTTTATTTCTTTCTGCTCCATCACAGATTCAGGTTTAAACTGACTGAGGAGAATATTGTTTGCCTATAAAGATGTTACTTGAGAGCATCTGATATAGCTACAAACTCTTAGATAAACCCACATCTCTGATAAGAGACTGAGATAATACTTAAATATTAACATAAAAAGGGTGAGTTGTACTTTATTTTATGTTGGTGTATGTTTTTGATCTGTCACACAAAAAGGGGCTTCATTCCCACGCATCACTCTAAACATGGCCGACTCTAATGATGTCGGAGCTGCCTGTTTCCTCCGAGGAGAAAGTTTGATTTCAAACCTCTCCTGCTGCGCTGCTGAGAAATAAAAAGGGAATCCTGCAGCTGTTGCCTCTGTCTCTTCAGATCCTGCGGCTCGCTTGTTTCCTTATTAATGAGAGAATTCTTTTTACTGTGTGAAGTTTGGACACAGCAGTACATTTTATGTAACACCCATCATTGCTCTTCTAGGCTGACCTCATAACTCCATGAAAACTCACTTTCTAATGTATTTTTCATTTCTATTTTTATCAAAGTGCTGATTTCCATTTCTGTTTGATACCTTCTCAAGGTCGGCTACTTCAGAAATGCCTCTAAGGCAGGAATGATCACAAATAGTTCTTAGTGCTGCCCATTTACATGTAAAACAAAGGTCTCCACTTTCTTTCACTGGTGAAAAGTCAAAGATGTGTTTTCACAAGAGCTACGTGGACAAAAGGATACTGGTGTTCCACAAGGATGTGTCCTCAGTCCCAGCCTGTTCACATTACTTGCATATGATTACTCTGGAAGACATCTTGGCAATCATGTAGTAAAGTTTGCAGATGATGTCCATATTTTTTATGTGAAGTTTAAAACAGCTCCATGATTGTGTGCATTATGTATAAAAGAGAGACATTTAGCTACAGAGAAACAGACACTTCACCAAACTTCATTAATGTAACTTAACATGTTCAAATCTGGATTTTAGAACATACAGCAGTACAACAAAACTACACGGACAAACAAATCGACACCTGATCAAAATGAGCCTCACAGAGCTTTCAGAAAATATCCAATCAGAAGAACGTGGGTGGATGTTTCAGCTGAGGGGGTTAAAGAGAAAGTTGCTGAATATTTATTTGTTTAGTTTTTAATATAGGTCATATAAGTCCACTGAAGCTCCAAACGAATAAACAGCTAAAGCTTACTTTGAACTCGTAAAAATTTGAATGATAAGTTTTCACTGAAATGCCGTAGAGGCGGTCCTCCTTGAAAAACAGGTTCCTATCATCAAGGTGAAGCGGTTAATCTGTGTAAATATAATTACAGGAAGCTGATCATATCTTACTTTGTTCTATGGTGTTATTTTTTAAATTGAGCTGCAAATTTTGCATTATGTATAAAATACTGACATGTGAGAACTTTATGCGACACTACAGTAACTTCTCAGGTTACCTTCATGTTCATGACCTCACTCCCCAAACAAACACCACAACGTACCATTGTGCTTGCAGTAAGTGATAACCTCTGGCTCCTGTAAAGCTTTTGTTTACTTTCTGAGGAGAGGAGAAGTGATCTTTGTGCTTCCAGCACACAAACTTGTGTATTTATGTTGGATGTTTTACACAAGAAGAAGTTATTTTTGGAGTTGCTTGTCTGAGGCTTGCTGCCATAACAAATAAGATGCAAGCAGAGACCTGAGAGCACAGTGGCAGAAGTCCAAGTCAGACAAACACAGCCTTCAAAGAGTGGATTTATTAGAGAACACCACCCTGATATCTGAGTTGCTGTATTGATCGGTAAGGACTTGTTTCCATTGTTTTCTGATAGCGCAAAGAGCTTTCGAGAATTGATTTTCTGTCCCTGCGTGCATCTTTCTAATTCTTTAATTTATCTAAGAGGGCAGAAAACGTTTCACCTTTCGGAACAAATACTACAGATGTGAGTGTGTCACCTTTCATAAGCACCAAAGTTCTGTCAGTCCTGGCTTAAAAAGGTGTCATTAACACCTTTTGACCATACTATTATTTTAATCAAACTGTTTTTAAAAATCCACTCAGATAAATATTGTTAAAAACAACCTCAAGGCAAAATAATCAATCCACAAACTCTGCTTCAAAATATCCTTCGATGGTCAAACAGAAACATCCCTATTTTTAGCTCAATAACAGTCTTTGTTCGTCTTCCAGCATGTAAGTGTGTTTCAAAGGGAGATTCACCTTCCTGTGCAGCATCATATTTGGCATTGACCGAACTACTGCCTGCAGGAATCTGGTATGAGAACACAAGGAGGGAGGGAGGGAGGGAGGGAGGGAGAGAGGGAGAGAGAGAGAGAGAGAGAGAGAGAGAGAGAGATAGATAGAGAGAGAGAGAATCTGGTATGAGAACACAAGGGGGGAGGGAGAGAGATAGAGAGAGAGAGAGCGAGAGAGAGAGAGAGAGAAAGAAAGAGAAAGAGAGAGAGAGAAAGAGAAAGAGATAGAGATAGAGAGAGAGAGAGAGAGAGAGAGAGAGAGAATCTGGTATGAGAACACAAGGGGGGAGAGAGAGAGAGAGAGAGAGAGATTAGAAGCTTACTTTTAGCATTAGCAACTCCACCACACAGCAGAACTCCCCCAGGCTTGTATTATTTGTAGAAGTGAAACATCAACATAGCAAATCAGTAGTAGAGTAAATTTTTCTAAGCAAAATCCCTAAAAAAGGAACAATATTTATTTTCAAAACCTTTATATAATGTAATCATGTCTTTTATCAATAATTAATAGAATGTGTGTGATTGACATACACTGAACAAAAAAATAAACGCAACACTTTTGTTTTTGCCTCCATTTCTCATGAGCTAAACTGAAAGATCTAAAACTTTTTCTGCATGCACTAATCACCATGACTCAATTATTGTTCAGAAATCTGCCTACATGTGTGTTAGTGAGCACTTTTCCTTTACCAAGATAATCCATCCCAACTCACAGGTGTGGCATATCAAGGGGCTGGTTAGAAAGCATGAATAATGTGCAGGTGTGCCTTGAATTTAAACATTCAAAAGAACAGAAACAGAGATGCATATATTCCATCCTTGTTTAACAACTCGATTTGGAGAAAAGCGAGAAGTAGTTCCTGTTGGGAGTGCTAAGGCGTTGGTTCATAAAATGATTCAATAATGTTGCAAAACTTTGGGGCAAACCCATATAAATGCAAGACTTAAAGGGACTTTACAGACTTTTGAATTTTTATGCTCGCAATTGCCCCCTCAGGCCAAAAGCGTAACGGCAGCTTCAATAGTAAGCTCGTGCGCATGCTGTATGTGCACACTCCTTAACGAAAATAACAGCTGAGACAGTCCCTTGTGTGTGTGTGTGTGTGTGTGTGTGTGTGTGTGTGGCCCGGAGGACAGGAGAACGCGCAGCTAATTAATTAAATAATTTGGTTCTGTACCTTTCTCTTCAGCACAGCCGACGAAGGTTTAAGATGGGTCAGTCCTCCTGCATGCTCAGATCATTCCCTTCCATTGCTTGAAAAATTGTTCCAAAATGAAAGTTGAGCCCACATCTTTTTTATCTGTGAATTCAACGCCGTTCGGCGAGTCTCAAATAAAAATTTGGGCATCTTACTGTAAAAAAAATATACCATTAATATAAAAAAGAAACTCTAAATAAACTATGTTCACACCCAGAATTGAACCGAGGTCTTCTGCACAAGAGTCCGACGTCTAACTAGGTGAGCTAAAGCACCAGTGACGTCCTTTGTATCTGTAACATTTATATCCTTGATGACAGTTGAAACAACGTTCAAAGAACGGTTCGGAGCAAAAATGGCTATTTTGTTACTAATTTGCAGGAAATATCTAGAAGAAAGTTCTACAGAAAGTAGCTAAGGGTCCTCAGAAATGTTGCTACCTTTGTCACTAGGTGTTAGGAACAGCGACAAAGTGGCACCACCTCTCTCTGCTGCTAAAGCTACGGATAGCAAATGCTACGGGCTATGCCTGAGCGTGAACGCGCATGAAGCAGCCTGCTCGACCTGAGCAGCTCTCTTTTTCTGTGTTTTTACAGAAAAACAGGCAATCACAGTAAAAATGCCAGGGCTCATTCTACTGGACCAGGGCATTGCAGGAGAATGTATGAAGAAGACATGTATTATTTCTATACATGTTTTGGCTGTCAAACTTCCATAATGCCCCTTTAAGAGGAACGCACGTTCAAGTTTACAGAAAACTTTGTGGGAATCAGAGAATAAGACAAAGGCCTTGTCTTCAGTGAGATCTGTGCTTCTGTTAGAGGAGACAGCCAATCAGCACTCAGATAACTAAGTTCTGTTTCCTTTTCCTCAGTTAACACCTGGATCATGGGGAAGTCCACAGGTTAGTCCATCCATCGATCCATCCATCCATCCATTCATAAACCTATCCATCCATCCATCCATGAACATCCATCTTTGTCATATTTAATTCCAGTTACTAGCACACACACACACACACACACACACACACACACACACACACACACACACACACACACACACACACACACACACACACACACACACACACACACACACACACACACACACACACACACTGTGATGCGTGACATCAGTGTCTTGCCTGCTTCCTCTAACAGCTGCTGACAGTTTGACCCTGGAGCCTACGCTCCCTACACAGAAGAGGATCTGCAATGAGTCTCGTCTGCAGTGGGAGGTGGAGGTCTGTGGAGAAGACTTCAAGCGGGACATGTCTCACATAGATTCACAGTACTGGTGCAACCTCACACACTTCATCAGGTGAGATGACACCTGAAGATAGATGTTGGATAGCTGAGTGTTAGCAAATTGCTGTCTGGTCACTCTACAAGACCCATAAGGACGTGTTTATGAGACGTCAAGTCCTGACAAGTCCTGTAGGTCACAGTGGGCCATGCAAGGTGCGCGCCTTCACTGTGCAGCATGTGTCAAGACACTAACCAGCTGTGTGTGTGTGTGTGTGTGTGTGTGTGTGTGTGTGTGTTTGTGTGTGTGTGTGTGTGTGTGGTGGAATAATTTAGATCATCAAATTGGATTAAAGCAGTAGAAAATAATGACAAAAATAAAAATGGAAACTCCATTTAAACAAATAAATAGTTTTCTTTTTGAACTTTTTTTTTTTGCTGTGGGAGATAAAAAATATTCCAATACATCAAACACTAGAATCTCAAGATTAAATGGTGGCTTTAAAAAGCAATTGTTCTTCAGGCAGAAAGTTTTCCAACTACTCAATAAATGACAGCACAGGGAGATGAATGTTTCTTCACTTTCTGCTCCAAAAACACACAAAATGAGTTGAAATCTTTAGAGACCAAATGGAGTTTCCTCTTTATAAACCCAAGCTGCCATAACTCTTCAGTTTTTTTCTGTTAACCAGGGTTCTGCACCCTGTTGCTCTGGGCCAAGTTTTTTCTGTTCTAACCGTTTTTGATATCTGCAACAACATACACTAAGAAGGTCTGCCTGCCTTTTAAAAGTCAGCTCTAAGCAGGAATTTGATAAATTCATTTCTAAATTTTTATTTTTATTTTTATTTTTCATTTCTGAAATCATGAATATCTAACTTGGAATCCTACTGAGCTGGGAAACAGCATCAGGGTTCTCACCACAGTCCCTTTATTATTGTTACTTAGTGCTTTATTAAACACTAATAAACTATTTATTAAAGAATTAACAATAGGGCTGCACAATAAACTATTTGTTAAAGAATTAACAATAGGGCTGCACAATATATCGAAAAATTATCGTCATCGTGATAACAGGACGTGCGATAGGCCCATCGCAAAGCACGTCAAAAACGGTGATAAATGTTTGGTTCAAACATTTCCATCCGTGTCATACATCACCTTTGTGTAAACCAGCTCTGTTTTTTACGCTGAAGTATTATTTGACCAATCAAATGTAGTCCTTCTGATATGCGGCCAATCAGATGGGTCCGTTCACGTAATACGCCCGCCCCCTACGTAGACCCTTACCCAAAAATTCCACTATCTCCGCTCTGCTCCGCCCCCGCTTTCCGCTGCTGCTCGCTTCTATTGTTCGTCATGCTGGCTCAGATTAACGAACACACTTTGTGCTGAGGTTTCTGGAATCGGCGCTGCTTTCAAACGTGAACGTGAGTCCGCTCGGTGTCGTTAAGCAGCTGATAATAACCGGGCTGACTCCGAAACGTGCGGGTTAACCAACCCACCTTCATGTCGCTAGTGTTCCACCGGGTGGTGATGTTAGCCCCAGGCTCCGGTTAGCTTCCAGCTAAAAGGCTACAGCACTCTCCTCCCAGTCCCACCCTGCTAAAGAGGGCCTGGAAAAGTTCCCCCACACATCAAAGTGATTTTTCATTTATGAGCTTTTATAACCTTGTTAATCAGGATCGTTGATTTGCTGCTGCACATAAACTGTCAGTCAGAAGCTCTGCTAGCCGGTTATCTTAAGAGGAGCTAGCTCAGTTTGTTAGCTTGTTATCAGAATCATAGTTGCAGTTTCATCATCTGAGCTGCTTTTTAAGATCTAGGTAAACTCGTTCAATTTGGGGTGAAAAACAAACGTTTTCATATATTTTCCATGTAGTTTTTTTTTGCCAGTTCCTCTTCTGAAAGGTGGACGATTGTTTTTCTCTTTCCCTCAGAAAATCTTAATATTCTCCTAGTTTGGCCCAGCACAGTTCACTTCCCAATAGCAGCAACAGCCTTATATCATAACCACATAAGTGGAGAAAATGCTCAGTAGCAATGAGAGAATGTGCTGTTGCATTTAAGTGATGTTAACTATTATTTAACATTTAAACTTATTTTCTGATTTTATTTATTTATCCAAAAAACCCTGGTAAGGGATGTTTTTCTGTATTTGGAGCATCAGAAAAAGTTTTACGGTGGAGGTGATGTTTTAAAGTCACTGAGAAACTGCATGCATGCATTTTGTTGTTTTGCTGCTAATACAGTAGCAGGTGCAGCTGCATATTTTTGCAATAAAAATGTTATGTTGTAATGGAATTCATGCATTAGTTTTTGTTTGCTTTGAACCCAGAGCAGATGTCACACGCCAGACGACATCAACACTGCATACTTTAGTATTTGTTCATTTATCGTGAGTAATATCGATATCACAATATTAAGCACTGTTATCGAATATCGCAGGTTTTCCTAATATCGTGCAGCCCTAATTAACAACTACTTAACCATATGATGTAATGCATTACTAAGCAGACACCCCTGGTCCTTTGTCCTAACCACGTAATTGTTAGCAACATTGGGAACATTAATAAAAAGGAACCCTTTTTTTATTAATGCTTAATAATGCACTGAGTAACATTAATGAAGAGACCCTTATTGTAATGTGTTACCATGGTTTTAAGCTAATTCGTTTATTATTTAGTTATGTAAGTCGTTTGTGTTCAGCCCTTGTTTTTCCTTTTCACGCTGCAGATGTGGCAGATTTCATTTAAAAATTAAAACATTGTTTTGTGGTTGTTTGGAGCTGAAATATAATAATTACCCAGCCTGAGGATTAAAGACTATAGATCCTTTCATATGTGGTCTCAGCTTATACTTAATTACTTGTGTAAACATCACTCTAACATCCATTTTATTGTCTCTTACATTTTCTCTAATGTCCCAAAGAAATGAAACACTCAATTTACAGCTAACAGCTCATTTTACCACATGCTGATGCATCTATTTTTATTGTTATTATTAGATCAAAGTGATCAGAAGTAGCACCTGTTTCCCCTTTCCAGAGGGGTAGACACAACAGGTCTTGCTAAAGCAACTGCTTGTTCTCAGAGTGCTGCATCCAAACATGTTCAAAGAGAGTTCAGTGGAACCAGCAACTGGGAGAAGCTCAGCCTTGCATTGGTTTTTAAGCAGAATCAATTTGTGAGTTATAGGGATCTTCACCAGGAGCATCACAAGCCTCCACACACACACCAGTCCTTCACCCGGGCTACAAAAGTCACATTCTTTGTGTCAAGCTACCTTTGAACCAGACAGTCTTACCTGGGCCAAGGAGACTCAGGCCTGTATGTTGCTCAATCATCCGTATTCCTGTTTTCAGATGAAACTAAACTCTGCAGGTCATTTGGAAATCAACAAGGCTCAGAGTCCATGCAGCTGGAGCTCAAGTGAGAAGTTTCCACAGTCAGTGGTGATTTGGGGAAATGTAATCTGACCTGGACCTATGGGGTAAGAGCCTAGGTCCATCCAAGTCTTGAGTTTTCTCTTTAAAACATCCATTTTAGTTGATCCTGTGTAATTTGTTATTTTCTGAGACAGAGTTTTAGGTTTTCTTATCTGTAAGCCACAATCATCAAAACTACAAGAAATGAAGCCTTTACACATTTCATAACAAATCTGTGTAATTTATGAGTGTAATTTTCTGAAATGATGAAGAAAACCTTTTTTTCAGAAGCACCTGTACTATCAGGAAGCTGTAAGCTTCTTTTACACATTTCTGCTGAGTAGATTTGTCATAAAAGAGAAAAAAAAAATCTCATAATTAGAAACTTCTCAGCTGTTCGTTTCCAAGTACTGCTGTCGTCCCGTCTGACCGCTGTGATCGGAGCTTCATTAACAGACTGTCAATCCTCCATAGTGGCACTAAATGAAAGCCTCAGGCTGGTTAGACGGCTGCAGGATGGAGAGCCCTGGAGGAACCAGATGGCCTCCTGCAGAGCTCTCTGTGTTTGGCCACCTCTCTGCTTATGGGTGTTTGAAATAAACTGGTACAAGGTTGTCCAGGTGCAGAAAAGGTTACGATGCACCACTGAGAGGGTGTGTGTGGATTCATGCACTTCAATCATTTACTTATTGATTTTCTGCCCTGAACAGTTTGCAGCTCTCAGAGAAGGAAGGTTAAATGTGGAGTTGACTGCTACAGACACCTAATAACTACTGGAGATAGGCTAAGGAAAATAACCTAATGCATCCTTTTTAATTTACTTTCCATCTATAAAAAATAATCTGACCGTTTAGATCAGTGTGTAAATGCTAAAGTGCTCCTATTGCTGGTATTTTATTTATTTATCACAAATTCTTAAGTAAATCTCCAAAAAGTGCAACAAAAATCAGTTTTTACTTCATGTTACCGTTTTTAGTAAGTCATAGAGAAATGTTGTGATACAACAAGCTTTCAGCAGGTACATAGATGTTTAATAATAATATTTTATTAATGAAATATGACATTGTATCATTGATTATTGTCTGGCCATTCACTTTATGACGACAGCAATAACATAGAAAAACAGTGTTTCATTTTCAGGTTTTGCTCAAAGGTTAAAACAAAACCAAAAATGTTTTATTTGATCTTAGGTTTCTTCACACACATCAAACCCCAGAGAAAAAGCCTGTCTGTGTGTTAATGGGTGCTGTTTCCTCAGATCCTTTTCTCTGAGTCTTGAAAGGTGGAGCCTCAGTGCAGGTGTGCTACTGCCCTTTCTCACTGTTTCATCTGAGATGAAAAGAAGAAAGCACCAAAGACAGACACACACACACACACACACACACACACACACACACACACACACACACACACACACACACACACACACACACACACACACACACACACACACACACGCACGCACGTGCGCGCACACGCACACACTGGACCATCAGCAGTCAGAGACATTCAGATAGCACTCTAAAATCTCTCCATTTCAGTCACACATCTGGCCGTCAGACAGATGTTGGAGGTGTGCTTCAATAGCCTGGCCTGCCACACTCGCCCTCTCTCTGTTCTTCACAGAGGACGAGTCTGGATACTCAGAG